ATATATATATATATTTAGCATTCAAGACTGAGCAGAGAATGGAAGTTTAAATCAGGCAGGAGTAACTCGCAGCCCCAAAATGGCTATAAAAAAACACAGATTCTTATAGGGCCCGCGGCCAGTACCTGTATAAGATTTTCAGCAACATGTCTTATTTCTTGCAGTTGGTTTCTTGATATAAATATAAACCCAGTAAGCCTAGGCAGCCTGTCATTCCTAATTTGCAAAGGTAATAATAGAAGGGTTTTTTTAGTGAAGCACGAATTCTATGAGCTCTCCAGTCCCAGCACATCTGCCCCTGCTCTCCTGCTTGTGCAACCACCCTTGCAAAAATCATACAGTACTCTCAAGGAAAAAAGAGCAGAGAAGGAACAGAAAAAAAGTTTTTTCCCTTCTGCTTCAGGTGCAGAAATTGGAGGCAGAGACATGAACAAATAGATGGGATATTCAATCCAGAGGACACTTCTCATGGTTCCCGTGGTAAGGAGCTTGCTGCAGCCCAGCAGCGTGGGGAGAGCGACGCCTGGGCACGCACCTCGCCTGCTCTGAACGGGCAGGAACAGGCTCCGAGTGACAGGGCTTCCCTCTTGCTTAACAAACACATGACTCTAGTGCCTCTTTTAGTCTGTCACTCCAGGCAACTGCCTGCTTCACTTTCTCCTAAAACTGGGCCAGGCTGCTATGCAGCTTCAAAAATTACACTATATTAAGCTAGTGTTCAATGAAGAACTGTAGCTCCACACAAGAGACTTGTAGCTTCTGCATGAGAGGGAAGTGCCAGCCAATTTGGTCTTTGACTCGATCTTCAATTTTGCCTTCCCAACTGCTGCAAATAGCTAACATCTTGGAACATCAACAACAAAAAAAAAGATAACAGAAAACAGGAAGGCCAAACATGCAGCCGTTCACTGACTCAGGCCCTAAATAACTTAGGAGAACAGTATTTCAAGCAGCTTGGTTTTACCTCCATGTGCATACCTTAGGGTAGGGCAAAACACCTCACCTGAAGCATATCATAAAAAACTCAGAGATTAAGACCTTTTTACATATGTATGGGATAGGATTTCCAAAAGTGTTGACTATAGGTCTGCTTCACTTCAGCAAAATTAACAAAATACCTCCCCTGATTTCAATGAGTTTGAATTAGACCATTGCTGAACACATTTGAAAAGCCCATAACATTTCTTAGAGTACTGAAGCACATACGTAGAAGAACATAAGTTTAACTTGTGGTTGGAACAAATGTTTCACATAGTTTAGTTTGTTTCATAACTCTTCCTCTAATGTATCACTCAGGTTATTTCCCAAGATCTTCAAACTATTGTAGCTGATCTATAGTCTTCATTTTCACACATAGAAATGAACTCAGAATGAGTATCTCAGTAATAAACTCCAAACCCTTATCCAGGCTGGATTTAAGCCAAACAGTTTCATGCATATTTTATTGACCTCCATGGATTTGGATTAGGACTACTGAGCTATCCTTTATACGTGCAGGAGCTTACCCTCTCCTTTGGGTCTGCTCAAGAAGTAAAGTGCTACTCAGTATGAATTACAGCAGGATCAGGGCATCGGGAAACAGAATAACTTGATTATACTCCAGTGTTCTACCAAGGGATGCATTCTGGAGCTTTATTTAAATGTATTTGTACTTGAAGCAAGTAAAGCCAGAATGATAACCAAGAAACATTCAGGTAGAAGGGGGAAAAAGGTATGTGGAATCCATGTGTCATGACTCTGCTAAGGATCAGGCTACTAGTCATAGATCTTTATATGTAATCTCTTGCAGAACCACAGATCGGGTTTTATTTCTGTCCAGCACAATGGTAATAAAGGCGGACATGAAAATGTGCTCCAAAATCCAGCAAAGTCAGCGTGAAAGTTTGGAGTCAGGCCTTTAGGCCTGATACTTTGCAATCATTTCTATTGAGTGGGAAGCTGTGCTCAAACAGGCGGCTTCCACATAGGTGGTTTGGGACTCCAATATGGAGACTGACTTGTAAACCTGCTTTGCAGCCACATATATTTTGCCATGTGACAAAACTTACAAAATCTGTTATTTATTCAATATGAAATTTGATAGAGCAATTTTGATTCGTGCTTCCTAAAGAACAGAGCAGCATTCTCTTTATAATTTGCATTTGAATTTACATGACATTCTTTGATATTCTTTTTCCTTTTGTTGAATTCACAAATGAAAAATTGTATTATTTAAGGAAAGGCACCAACTAATCTCCAAACAGAGTTAACCCAGATGCCTTCATACTGATAAAGTCTCAGGTAAAGGCATAAATTAGTTGCTTTGCAATCATTTCTTTATCCTCTTCACTCCAGCCTCACTTCACTTCACTCCCTGCGTTATATACTCACAGGAGCTGAATCTAAAGCTGTTGAGTCCCAAACACAGGCGGATTGAAGCCCACAACTCTGCGGTATCGGCCCACTTCAGCTTTCACAGAGGTGGCAGCTACCATGGCAGGAAAGGCTGAGTCACCAGGCCAGTTTTCAGACCAAAACAGTAATGCAGAGCAGCACAGGTTCTGCACGGCATAGCAGGAGTCTGCAAACCACGAGAAGAAGCTGCTTCATATGCAATGCAACTATCCCTGCTGCAAGAGCGCAAATGTCCGGGCAAGAGACAGGGCGTACGGTTGGAAATGATAACCCCAATTTATTCAGCCTGGGCTCTTGAGACAATATATTCCGTTAAAAGCTGATGTTATTGTCAGAGCTGTCAAAGACAAAATTCCAAAAGAATTCAAATGCCGCAAATGCGGGGTTTGAATCTAGTAAAAATGACTGCCAAAAAGAGCCATAAAGCACCCTGTGTTATAGCTGGAGTGGCAAAGGGGTAGATCAATGAGCCTAATTTTCCAAAGAAGCTGTCTGAGAAATTTCTTGATCAGAGTTCTTAGGCAGTAGCAATATAAAGTGAGAATCTCTGCACCCTCATCAGGAGCTGCTTCCACAACTGAATTCCTATGTGAGAACTGCCCAGCACTTTATGCAGGAGGAGAAAATGAGGCAGTCCAGCTGAGAGTTAGTCCCAGGAAAATGCCTAAGATGCGGTCCAGCCTACACTATAAATCATCTCCTTCATGCATTCAGTAGCTGTCTGCAACCTCAAGAAGCTTCTTTGCAGATCTGTATTAGAGAAATGATCTGCCAGGGACACAAGGCACAAAAAGATGCAACAGAGCCACTGGTGAGACTGGCTTACCAAGGGTAAGCAAAGTCCACGAGAGACTAATAGTTTTGTAAGCCGTGATATATATAAAACCTCATGTCCTAGATCGTAACTGCTGGACTTTGTAACTGCATTATATCAAAGCTTCCATACAAGCCTGCCTTATATAATACATTGGGGAATCCATGGAGAAAGAAATACGAATGCCTATCATGAAAGGTTTCAGGTGAAATCTGCCCCTTACTGGCCACTACAGAACCTTACAGGAAGAGAAATTTGACAGAAATGGGTATTTTCCTATTTCTAGGTACTCTACGCTCTGAGTTTTTTCCCATGACAGTGGCACAACTTCTCCACCCAGTGCTGACATATCACTACTAATGGTCGAATGTACGCTGCAATACTCTTCCTCTCTGCAGATAAGCTCCCTCTCCCCTGCCCAGCTATTTTCACAGAGCTTACAGGAATCTTTGAGAACTGGTATTTTAAAATTTGCCCTTCTGTTAACAATTTTGTTGAAACTCACTCAAAACTTACCAAGTACGGGAATGATAAAGGAACAGCAAGCAAGCAGCAACAGAATTAGACTCACACGCAAATACACCTGGGGTGCAATTTTGCAGACCCTGCTCAGCAGCTCTTGGGCAGCCCATCTGGCTGCCACCTCCGTTCCTGCAGGCAGGTTCACCCTGCGCGAGGCCTGGGACACCGGGGAGGCCACTCGGCCCCTTCCCGCGGGCCTCCCAGGACAGGGTGCGCGGGGAGCAGGAGCCCGCGGCTTCCGCCCGGCGCCTCCTCGTGCGGGCCGGCTTCATTATGTGCGTTACACACGGCCTTTGAGAGAGCCGGTGTGTGACTACACTGCACGCACTGGGTTTGCGTGACATTTAGCGCATGAAACAGCCCCTGCAAGCGTCGCCGGCATTACCGGCTTTCACCTCCCTCTCTTCCTTTTTTTTAAAAAATTCTCCCTTTCTTTTTAAAGAAACCGA